CCTGACTTAGATCAGCCCAGAAGTTGTTCCAGGGTTCAATCTGTGAGTTAGCCGTGCCCTGACTTAGATCAGCCCAGAAGTTGTTCCAGGGTTCAATCTGTGAGTTAGCTGTGCCCTGACTTAGATCAGCCTAGAGGTTGTTCAGAATATCGTGAAATTTGAACTTGCAGTAGAATTCAACTTTAATTAAAACTTCCCAGAGTTCAGGGTTTGATCTGCAATTGAACTGAAAATATTGTGGAAACTTAAGGCGTCTCTGTGCAGTTAAAATGGGAGTCATCTAATGTGGTCACATGCTGAACCACCTTGAATTCGTAACCATAATCACACATTTTTAGAGAAACTGAAGGCAATTCCTTCTATTCAGATATTTTAACACCTCGAGTGTTTCTGGTCAGGTACAGTAGTCTCATATTCAAAAAAACTCATCCAATGTGGTGGATAGCTGAGTGAGGAAAAACACAATGCTACATTACCTTTGTACATCGCTTCCTTAACGATCTTCGTGTTGGAACAGAGAGCATGAAGGGTGTCTACCGTAAGAAGCTGACCTGAGAGAGAAATAAACGATCAGGAATAATAACCTTGATACTCAAATGAATAAAATCTAGCAGTTTTAGAAAATCGCCGAGTGTAACTGGTGGGCACGTGCATACTGAAATCGCTAAGCAGCTCAATCTGGGGGTTAAAATAAAAGAATTCCCGTTTCTTGAGGACTGGAATCTTTTATGATGTTAATACGTTCAATTGTTTTGGATTTAGTGCAAGGGGTCTATGGTTATACAACAGTTTCCTTGAAAATAAATACCTCCCTTAAAGCGCGTTGAGCCATCCTTTCTTCTATTTAATTTTTACTATCTAAATATAAGTGTTTATCTTTGCATTCGCCGTTTAGGCAAAGAATGGTTATTAGAATCTTAAGTAATCTGCTTACTTGAAGTTAGAGTATGTAGTGTTAGGAGTAGAAAACCAAGGATCTCGGAGTCAGCGATGCTGTTGACACAGTTCTTGTTGGACGTTACACCAGATATTACCTACAAAAGGATCATCACAGATAATGAATAATGGTGGGCTAAGAAATCAGTATTACTACTGTATTATATACTACTCTAGTAGACTGACCCTTCCTTACCTCAAGTGCATACTACTCTAGT